AAAAAAAAAAAAAAGAATTTAATTTTTACAAAGCGTTTCGCGGATTTTTTCTCTTTTCTTTTTTTATTCTTTCTATTTTTTTTTTTTTTTTCGTAACTCGTCCGAGTTACGTGATTGAATGAAAATAAAGATAAAGATTGATAATCATCGATATTACATAACGTTATTTCATTCGAACGGTTTTTTTTTTTGAAATGATTCGGGTTCACGTTGAATCTAATGTTTAAGATTTAGGTCAAAGCAACGTCCCTTTTTTTCTAAGTTGATTCGCCTAACTAAATAGGCTAATCACGTGCGCTTAACTCTTTTGCGGCAAGTAGAATTAGCTAGCTAACTCTCTCGTCATCGACTACGTTGTGAGATATTTCTTAAGTAAGCTTAAGAAATAAGAAGGAGTCGTGTCTGGTTAAACAGTTATCTAGTATCTTACATAATATTATCGTGCGTGTGCCATACGCACGTGAGAGTCCACGCTTTTATATCTAGCGTTGTCGTTGTCCGTCGTATGTAGGTGGAACAACGCGGGCCCCCATAGGAATACGACATGCGACAAATCGTTGCTTTACTTACTTCGTGCTTTAAAAAATAATCGGAACACGTGGCTCATATAATTGGAGATTCAAGTAGTTCAAGTAGTTTATTCTCCATACCTCATTTTTAGTCTCCTTTTTTCTTTCTCATCTTATTTTATTTATTTATAATATATTTCTAACACGATGCATTTATCATGTTACAACGTAAACCATTTTATAGGTTTCTGTGTTATAGAAAGGGCTACTTGTATTTCGATATACTGTAACATTTTCATTTTTTTCTATAATATTCTGATCGACCATTTGATTTTATATTTTTTATTTGATTGTGTTGTTGTTATCCGTGTATTACCACCGTCATACTCTTTCAATTCCTTTTTTTAGCATTATCGCGTATCTAATACATACATCTAGAGATTCGAAGATACACAAGTTATGTCACTGTTCTCACATAAAATACAAACAGTCGAACGTCGTATTATCGCACGGGGGGTTAAGAGGAAAGGGGTAAAATGGGGGGGGGGGAAAGAAAAGAAGTAATGACAAGGTGTTTCATCGAAATCATGTTCCTTAATAAATGGGATGATTATATTCCCAGAATTTACTTCGCCATTACGTTTATCCAATACTCGTTACTTTTTCTTATTTTTTGTTTTTTTTTTTT